ACGGTTCAACCTCGTTAGAAGACGACAAAAAAAAGTGGCCAGCTCACAACAGCTGTAAGCAACGAAAACGAGGCTCATGTATGCGTGCTGCTAAACCAACAAAATTTAACTGCGGAACGTTGTTCGAATTTTTCCTCCATTTCGTGATTTGCACCTGCGACGCTAATATGCATTCCTCAAACACGTCTTAACTCGTTAAATAGTGAACTGAAAGAGATAACATTTTGTACACATACTACTGATAAATGTAGCAACATGGTACCAGTTTTGTTTGATATATTGCTTCACTTGTACAGGCGCCGGGAAGAAAGTTCGAGAACTTTTCCAACACTCTGTATATTCTTAAAAAATAAAAATAAATTATACTATGTCTCTTTAGCTTTGAAAACGATATCTAATCTATCTGTATAGCCTCGATTACATTGAGCGATTTTACTAGCGATTAAAGTCGCACGCGTGTGAGCGTGTAGCGGCTTGTTCGATTACATTGAGCGATTAAATTCGCTCGTTCGCTAGTCGCGTACACGCATTCATGTGATATACATGTAAAAGAAAGTTGTCATTGATATAGATAACTCATTCGTTTTCGTTTATATTTGAAATTTTTTTTATTATTTATTGATTTTAAATTATTTATTGATTATTTATTATTATTAATTTAACTGGGCCCTGTTCATCCTTAGAATATTTTGATAGGCTGCAAAGTCTTCGTGTTTTAGTTATTTTAATAATGTATTGGATGCACCATATTTCTCTATAACTGTGTATAGCACTAATTTCGAAAACGGTAGGATTGAATAGCATCAATTGAGCACTAAATAATGGTACCATAGCAGAAATTAGTGCTCGAATTTTTCCGCTAACTTCACGCACCTATAAAAAATGCGAAAAAAACGGTGTCTTGTCGTTTTTCTAATGGAGAATTATTTCTTTTAGAAAACCTGAGTCGTAAAAATTTTAAATTAGAAATAATCGTTAAAAATCTAAAATTGAATTACATAATAATTATAAAAAATCTTGCATGCACAATAATACGGTGTACCGAATAATATTCTACGATACAAAGCGGCAATGTCGCAACCAATTTCGTGTTCAATCGTTTGGCTTTTGGGTTCTTTTTTGGTACCTATTGTTTAATTGCAACTGCTCAATCGGGTTACGAAAAAGATCAATTGTGCTCAATCAGTTTCCAGCCGTCAAAATATTCAGTGTAAAAATATCCTGGTCAAAATATCCCGCGTAACTATTAATTTTAAATTTTAACCTTCTTATATTAGTTATATAGATATTAATATATTTATAAAATACAAAAATGAATTAAAAATTTTTTAAAAATATATTAATATGTTAATTTTTTCATCAAAAATTATTATACTTATTATATTAATAAATTATGTGCTACTAATTTTAAATATTTATGGTTAATAGTTTCGTCATATCCTCTTAAAAACAGCAATTGACTGCTCGTCAACATTTTATATTTTTTGAAATATTTATTTTTATATTTTTCTAAATTCCATGAACTTATAATGGATGAGGTATTATACAAAAATATTTTTCTGGTCTAGAAAATCAAAATTTACTTAATTGGGATATATGAAAAAATAATACGTTAATTTCAAGTTAACCCGTAAGGATATAAGTTAAGTTAATAAGTTAATTTCATTTATCAATAATGAAATAAGTTAAGTTAATAAGTTTAATTAAACTTTTAACTCATTAACTCGTTAATGCTCAGGTTTGATTTATTCATTATAAATTATATTATTTTAAAATCAGTTAAATTAAGTTCTTGAATTTCGATCAACATTTGAGTTATATCTTCATTGTAAGTTACTAAACATTAAGTAGAATTTTAATTTTAAAAATAAAATTATAATTTTAATATATAATAAATAACAGAAAACTTGGTTGTATTGTAGACATTTATGATAACTCTTCAGAAACTACCTGATGTTAAATACAATAATTAAGCACAATATAGAAAACAATTTGTAAATGTAGCCACTTATTATTATTGAAATAAAAATTAAATCAACTATATGTAATAAACTACATATTTAATTAAAATTGTTCATCTCACTTGTCCTTAATTTGTAATCCTTCAATTTATTTAAAAATTTTTATATTTTCCCAATTTTAGGAAAAAGCTCTTTGATCATGTCTTCGGTTAAATTAAATTATTTTATTTTATCAATTTCTTCAACTAGATATTATTTATAATTTATGAATTAAAATTAATGATTTTATTTTACTAACAGCTACCAGGATGGATAATGTATTTTCTAATAACGACAACACTTAAATTGTTATATTTTTCAGTAGGTTTAAAATATATAGTATATATTATAAATAGATAGGCATATTATATAATTATATACATTTGTATATTTTTCTTTTTTATTCAGACTTTCTTGAATAATTTTCTTACTTTTAGACAATAGTATTGTACATCTTAAAGATTTATTATATTATTTTTATAGTAGTATATTTATTCTATAATAGGAATCTACTATAGTATTATATTATAATATAGTATGAGTAAATGTTATGTGATTTATACAGATAATTACTATTATTATTATTATTATTATTATTATTATTATTATAGTGAAATCAACTAGCAATATTTAATTATCAGCGTTAGTATAATCATATATGAATAATATTATTTAGGTTATATGTATTTTAGTATACTAACCTATTATAATAGGTTATACATATGTGTAATAAAAGTACATAATATATTTTAACTTTTTTCCTAGGTACCACAAATTACAAATCTCTTGTTAATAATATTAATAATTATAATTTGTTCTACATTACCTTTAAAAATAGTTAGCTTGTCCTTAAATCCCCATGCTTTCATGATATTTTCTGTGAATTCGTCCATAGTATATGAAGATTGAAGATATTTGCAAACAAATAACCTTGCACTTAGCAATTAAAATTATTAAGATCACTAAATGCTCAAGTCACTAAATTGTCAACAGTACAAGACGTTCATATTATACAATGATGCTACTATAAACAACGATCATGAAGTAGTAATAAGTAGAGAGCGGATCTTAAGGTTTTTACATATTTTTATTGGCTTTATGCAGATGTACGAGGATAAAAATGTGGACAATTTATCCATCATAGATTTCGTAGGAAAATATTTATTTTGCATATTTTAGCATATTTTGAACATTAGAGAATATTTAGTCTATTTTTCATATTTTTAAATATAATCAATAATGTTTCATAAAAAAGCATATTTTATTAATTTCTCGAGTTGTGATTTTTCTAGGAAAAAAAATGTGATTGTTATATTTATATTTCTATGTATGGAACTGTTATCCATTTTTTCATTTAAATGAAAAAAAATGTTATTTAAAATTGTGGTATAATAGTTCAAATTAATATGTTTTCCTAGAATCACACATATTTTTTCGGATAGCATCAATTTTTAATGATTTGTTCTTTTGTAGTCAATTGTAGCTGTTATATTACAATAAGTTTCTACACGAAAATTTAGTTTTATTTTTTGCTAATACGAAACTATTTATTTTTTACTAAATATTTTAAAATTAATAACATTTAATTTGAGCGACATCAGTTAAAATACGAATCCCTTACTCTTAGACTTAAATTATAGGGCCTTATTCACAACATTTTGGGAAGTGCGCTATATTTATAACATATGTGCTCTATGCCATCTATGCATAGCTTGCCATCATGGAATTGAAAATATTATGCAATATATAGATACAAATAAATACATGCAACATATTTATTGTACATATCTGTGAATGTAACAGCGAAATTATTATATTATATTTACATTATAGCTCACGGATGGTATAAATAAACACAATACTGACTCGGCCGGATATAGATGGATCAAGAAAATATTTGAACTAGTAATAAATAGCTGTTACACGCGAGAACAAGGAAAAATTATAACCGACAAAACACCGATATAAGATATACGTACGTGCGTAGGTCCAATATCCGTATAATTCTAACCTCAGTACTGTAGCTTTTATGTCGTACTATCTGCATCGTGATGTAGTCAGACGAGGATTATCTGCAGTGCGGGGATGTTAAAGCACCTCACGTCTCATTCATAACTTTCTTTTCGTGTACACAGGCGTGGATACAAGGGGGGAGGCTAACGGTGCTTAAGCACCCCTCCTTAGACATTAAGTCGAACCATATCGGACGTAGGTACTTACAGTATTGAAAAAATAAGTCGTAAGAAGACTTTGTACAAATCGACTTGCAAAACGAATTATGGCAGTAACTTACTTTACTAGCACTTCCCATTTCTTTATTTCTAGATCCGCGCCTGCGTGTACATATGTCTATTGTGAAAAATCATTTAAAAAACTGTAAGCCAATTTTAACGAGTTCTGCTACATAAGCAAATGTCAAACTTAAATGTTCATTAATATGAATTCGAGTTACCAAGATCAGACGGTGTAATCGAATTAATGATACTATAAATAAATTAAATGTAAAAACAAATAAGTTAATTTTTCTTATCCAAATTTAGCTCTTCGGAAAAATACTTAAGATATGTCCTGCTCGTTATTCCGTTTTCGCGTGATAACCGTTCGCATGTTGTACATACTGTATTTGAGGGAACGACGATTGATAATCGCAGTTTCCCCATGTACGTATTTTATTTTTATTTTCTCCGTCCATAAGAAAGATAATGACGTGCACGGAACATACCCTCTATGGCTGTGCCGTACAAGACACGCGGCCGCCGTGTAGTCACGCCCCGTACACGCTGTAGCCGATATCGCACGTAAGCTCCGCCCCGCCAGGGCCGCGTGCACCCATCGGTTGGCCGACGGGCGAGCACCACGGAACATCGTAATCCTTCGTAACGATAAAACCCTGTGGTTCTGTGCATATAGTACGTACACGGTCCCTGCCACCGCCCGTCAACCGATGAACGCGATCCCCCCCCGCATCTACACCTCCGCAACCGCTGGGCGATCGTTATCACGGAGTCTCTTCCGCGGAGCCTCACGCACTTTCGCACCGACCGCCGAACCGCACGTCGCGGCCGAGACCAACCGACCGACCGACCGACCGACCCGATCTACCGACCGGACGAGTGCGAACGACTACCATCCTACGAGTGCGGACGACCGCACGATTACGGACGACCGATGTCGTCCTCGACGACGGTCAACTCGGGCCAGCCCAGACAGCCGCCACCACAGCTGTCGGACGGACTGTCGTCGTTGGTGTTGTCCAAGAAGTATCTGGCGTGCGCCCGGCCGCCGCACGTGTACAAACTAGACCACGAGAACCGGGACGACGGTGGTGAGATGTGCTACGGCGGTGAACCGTCGTCGGCCGAGTGCTGGGAGCAGACCGCGTGGGGAGCGCCGCCGTCGCCGGTGGTCGCTGCGGCCGTGCAGGCACGGTACGAGCCTTCGGACGTGTTCACGCCGCTGGTGTTCGAAGAGATACGGCCGCCGTCGCCGGAACAGCCGCCGCCCATGTGGATACGGACGGCCGAGCGGTTCCCGAACGGCACCGTGCTGCAGGTACACCATCACCATCTGCACCATCACCACCAGCAGCCGCCACCGACACCGCCGCCGCAGCAGCCGTTGCACCACCACCAGCACCGTCAGCACCTGCACCATCTTCATCAAGGCCAACACCCGCAACACGTCGCCGGCGGCTACCCGGCGAGGCGTCCGCTACAGCACTTGCCGCCGCCAGTGCAGTCGTCGCTGTCCGCCAAACCGTCGGCGTCCGAAGCCGTCCAGCAGCAGCAGCAGCCCGACGGCAACAAGCCGGGTGACTTGAGTTGGCTGGTCAACTTCCAGGTGGCGTCCATCTTCGAACCGACTGGCGGCGGCGTGGGCAGCAACGTCTCGGCCGGCGAATGGTCCCAGGAGCCGGCGGACGCGTTAAAACCTAAGAGGAAAGCCGCTGCGCCCAGGCCAACGGCCGACCAGAAACGTGAGTTCGAGCTGCAGTGCGCACAGTCAGAGGTCACCCTGGCTGGTCCACCCGGGAAAGGGACTTTCGAAAATTTCACGATCGGGTCTCGTTAGTAACTTTATTTAAAAACGAAAACCGTGACAAGAACCGCTCGTTTGATAGTTTTTAAAAAATCATTCTCACCCGGACCCTAGAGGATCCAGTCTGCCCCTGCGCATGGTTTTGCCGTGCAGTACCGCGCTCGTACCTTTCTTGGTGCACTCCCGGGGGGCCGTAAACGATAACGAAACACGCACCCATAAATGTATGATTCGCCCACCCACTACGGGTAGACGAACAACGCGAATTATCGTGGATACGTTAGCGATTCACGACGACAACCGGTTGCCTAACCTGGTGACCGGCGTTGGTCCAACATTGGACCTGTTAAGCCCTGTATGACTTAGGTTTAACAGGTTACACTAACAGTGCCGTATTCAGTGCAGGGCAAGAGGGCATGGACCAGGGGTACAATTCTTAAAGGAGCGCAAATTTCAACAATACTTATGTAATATTTTTCACGAAATATGAAAAATATGTAGTTAAAACAATTAAATTTGATAATGTCATTGATAAATTTGCCTCTATAAAATTAAAAAAAGTACCATTTTAATATTTTATTAAAATAAATTTAAAATCATCTCACACAATTGTATAACAAAAACATTTGATGAAAATTACATGTTTTTATAATTCATTGATTGTTTATATTTTAAAGTAATACCTACAAATAATTATTAAAATTTATTAGTAATTATTACCTTGTATACTATGTTTTTATACATGGTTTATATATCTCAAATTATTTTTTGTAAAAAAATGCAACTTTCCCATTAGGGGGCAAAGAGGGCGCAAATACAGTGATTCGACGGGGGCGCCACCAGACCTCAATACGGCCTTGCACACTAAAGACTCGTCCAAAATCGTTTTTATTTTTCGGGATTTTACTAAACTCCATGTACCTAATTTTATATACACCGTATATTATTGTGGGTGAATTATATATCGTGTGCAGGTGTACAGTTTATAGAATTTAAGTATACTGTGTTTGGTAATAAAAACAATTTCGAACAAATCGGATGATCGATCGGCCACCGGGCGTAGATCGATACATAATATTATCAACTTCTGATGTGTACTCCGTGAATGATCGAGTAGATCATTTCTAACGTCATCCGCATTGATGATTTACTCTTACGAGTTGCGCGCAGTTCAATCCAGGAAATTAATTAATTTTGATGATTTCTTTCGTTTTCCCGGAATTATTTGGAAAATATTATTTATTTAGATCTACCTTTTTTTATCACACGTTTTTGTTTTCTAAATACTGTTTGAATTGCAATGTAATACGATGAATATAATGAATTTAGAAGTTGTGCTTCTGTGCCGGCAGGGTGTAAGTATACTATAAATAACGAGTTAACTCGGAATATCTTCTACTCTTTCGTATTGGCTTCGAAATACTTTTGGAACAAGAAGTCGTTCTTCTTGAAAACGCAATTATTCTAGAAACTTAGTGGTTTCACGTTTTATATAGCATACCAACTGTTATTCTCCAATACAGTCAATAATAAACAAATAAGAACCAAATAAATAAATTATAACCATGTTGGATATAATATATGCATCTAAATACTAGATTTATCTTTATTTATTTATTTTTTTTTTTTATTGAATAATAATAATTTTACAATTAAAGATATGCTTAAATAATTAATTTTCAATTATTTGTTTTCGATATTTATAAGTTGCAATGGCAGCAGTAATATGTTGATATTTCGTCCTACGATCCTTTTATGTTAAAATTATAATCTAAAATCGTTTATAACATATCATAGTTTAGGAAGCTATCAAAATATTGTTTGTTTATTAGTGTGATCAATAATAGATTGTCACCATTTGTTGAGTTAATTCGTCTTGATCCGATCAGTAGTGATGTAGAGAAGTAGTAACAGCCTGATAATATAGAATCCGTACCATAGCACTTTATCAATTGTAATATTACCTAATGACACGTATATATATACCTAACGTTGTAGTTTGAGACAAAATATTATATTCTATGTAGGTATATATTTTATACGATAACATTATAATCTACGGTTTGATAATTTATAAACAAACACGATAAAAATCCAAAGATAATAAAATCCACTATAATATTATTAATCGTATATAATCTTTATGTTAAGCAGCGTTGAATCGTACGAATATAACTTTTTAATTTATTAACCATTGTTTTTAGCTTCTACAAAAATCAATCGAAAACCATACAGAATGCCACCTTCGAGGTTAGATAAAGCCAATAAGCCCGGGTACACGTATACGGAAATGATTCATCAAGCCCTGATGGAAAAAAAAGAATTACCAGTAGCAGAAATTTATCAATGGATATCGTGAGTGTTTCAATTAAAAAAACTTATTATTATAATGGTGATAAACTCCAGAATAGATATTATATTTAACAAAATAAATTCAAAATATTTTCGATTTGATAAAACTATGAAAACTAAATCCTATAATTTATTAGTATAATTTAAAGTAACCATATAAAATACAGCTTCATTTTGTAGTTTACCATTACTACTATATACTTACGAGTAATAGGTATAGTATTTTATTTCTAATTTTCTATGCTTTCGACGCTTTCCCCTTCTTTGTGGTAATATATTTTTTATATTAATCTATAGAAAATGGAAAATTATTACTGATAATACAGATCGATCGATTTTGAATTTCACGATAATTTAAAAAAAAACTAATTACCTATATTAGAAATCGGTATATGATGGCATTCACAATTTTATAAAATCTTGAGCTTTTTTATTTTTTTATTCAAAACTAAAATATTATATACCATTAGGTATTATAATTAAGCTATTATTCAGCTTGCGCAGAGATGATCCAGCAAATCTCCTATCTATACATTAATATGTTTTCTAGTTTAATAAAAAAAAATAAAAATTGCAATATATTTTTATGTTCCAAATAATCAAATATTTTTTTTTTAAAAACAATAAAAATTAGTCTTAGAAAAATTTATATCACTGTACAAACATAATTACAGCAGTTATATACGATTTGTTGTTAAAAGAGTCAAGCCAGAGTTAAATTTAAACGTTATACGCTTATTGCTGTAAACATGTCTTCGCCACAATATTTATATTCAACGTTGTTTCCGTGTTTGCTATGTAAGGGTTGTATACTTACCTATCCTAGTCATCAATTGGCAACCACAACAGCTAAAACTCCCACACTCATAGGAATATTTACTACGTCCCCTAAGCGTGCTAACACCAATTTTACGGTTCAGTGGTAGAGGAATCGCTGTATATGGATCGCGTGATATTATAGGAATAAATACAAATATATATATGTGTACCCCAGACAAGTGCATTTAGAGCCCACTGCATATCTAATATTTAAACGAATTAAAGTAACACCTGAGAATATAATTTATATTTCTATATAAAATAATAAATAAGGGATATCTGAATATTATACTACATAGTATATATCAGGGTAGTCCAACCCGCAACCCGCGGACCGCATGTAGCAACCGAAGCCTTTTTTTTGACTCTCCTCCATAAAATACTTATTTTAAAAAATAATTCACAATAGTATTATAACAAAATCGTTATATGATTGTATACTTTTTATATTATATACTATAAAACATAGGTACACGTGTAATGAGTAACATTCAAAACCATTATTGAATTCAGCTCACTGCGTATGTATAATATAAGTTTCGTGTTTTTATAGAAGCCACAACGAATCTGATTTCTTATGGTGGGAGATCGTGAAAGAAATTATTATTATTATAGTTATTATTAAGCAGCGATTGTTGACTGCAGGTTAAACTGGATAATTAATTTTTTTTTTTACTTTAATTTTTTTATGAAAGCGTAAATTGGTCCACCAACTACAAAAGGTTAAACCACCCTGGTATATATCATAGTAGATTTATATTGTTACATGTCAAAAAATATTGTATCGTTTTGAAAAAGAAAGAAAAAACTTATAAATCTGTAATAAAGTAACTTTGTCGACAATTAATACACTATTGTCGATTATGTTAAAATTAAATATTTTTTAAAATAATTATTTTAATATAATAATTTTTAAAAATAAACTAAAACCTATTTAATCAGTAAAAAAAAAACTTAAAAATTAATATTTAACAATAAATGTTCGATATCAAGAAATATAATTACATTCAATATTTTTCGACCATTTAGCATATAAATATGAATTTTAAATTTTATAACTATAAGTATATATATTACATAATCATGTTGGTTTTAATTGTAATTATAATTATCAATATAGCACCAATTATTGGTACAACACATATTATACCAATAACTGGCTGTTATATAATATGTGGTCTACCGGTGAATTTACGAATATAGTATGCGGTCTACCACAAATAAATAAATTAAAAATTATATCATAATATTAAAGTATAATTATTGTAGTAGTAATAGTAAAAAATTAATAATTAAAAATTACTTTGTCAAAAAAATTGTTGTCAATGAGTATAAATAAATATAATGTAATATGTTATACAAAAACTTACGCCATATCTCACAAAAATGCATTAAATAAATCTGATTTATTTATGCCACGTCACCATGTTTCCATGAGATATCTACAATAATATGTATCATTGTATTATACGTATTACGTTAAATTTATTTTACATAACTTATAATAATTTTACCTTGGAAGGAGATCAGGACTTGTACTACACATATTTTTAACTACTTTTAAGCGTAATGGTCTCCATAAACTTTAGATCCGTTGAGTGTGCGCTTGTGTAAGTGGATCAACAAAATTTTCGCTGTGGTTAACTGTATTATGCGTATAACCATATTGGGTGATCCCGTTTTACGCTGGTCGCCCATCAGAGTATATAATAGAACCTAATGCAACCCCTTTTTTAATAATATCATGCAAACTTTGCTTGTCCCGCTTTTCGACAACAAAATATCATTTCTCACTATTGTCACATAACCCAAACACCCAAGGACTGTTCATTCGTCTACCATAATTTCTTTTTCCATTTTCAAGAGAATCTTCATTTTCGTCTTCGATGTTTTCACTCAGCAAATTTGCAAGTCGATATCGACCTGTAACAACATAATGGTGATTTATAATATTTTATAATTAATATTCAATATAAAATTGTATTTTATTATTATAAAATATAAATTACCTTTATAATTTTTTCTGGATTCTCTTAAAAAACATTCGTCGACTTGTATGATAATATTAGGTCCTCCAAATTTATTACTTTTTCGAACATTTTCACTGGTATGTCCCGACACAAATTCATCCAGTCACATATGGAGTTGGATGATCTCCCAGTTAATGTCATAATTGTTTTATTGGATAAACCTTGAGTTCAGTAGAACACCAGTTCTAACTGTTGACTGAAGCTTATTCCACTATTTAGACGACCATTTTTGTCAATAAAAGTCCAAAAAGCATTATCTTTCCTATAATAGTATACATAATTATGATTAAATAAGCCAAAGAATATAAAAAAATAATTTTCTTACCTTAAACTTTGTGTTGTTTTTCTTTTTGCTTTTCTCTTACAACGTAAAATTCTCCTTTCCTTACCTCTCTCCTTGCGTAGGTATAAATTCATAGCACTTTCATACTTAATACATTAGGAATTTTCATTATTTGCCACAATATTTTTGCTAATTAAAAAATTGTGGTTGATTCGTCACTACTAATAATTGAATAAAAATCTTTTGCCAACATATTGAATGTGTAAAATATAAATTGTGTCGCGCAATAAATGACGTACTGAGCTATTGAGCCCATACTTTTACAAAATGTCGAAGTATTGTTATCTGTGTATAAGGCAATAAAGATAAAGTGTTGACCGAAGAAAAAGATTAAAAAGTGTATCTATTAAAAATAAACTTAAGCCTATGTAAAAACCGCAGGTAGACCGCATCCTACAGTGGCCGGTAGAACAAGTTTGCCGGTAGACTGCATACTATATGACAGCCCCAATAACTTATATGTAGATAATAATATTTGATGGCTTGGTACAAAAAAAATAAATACCTATTATTGTATTTGTTTAGAAATTTAAAGAAGTACCTGATAATACATTTGTAAGAATAAATACCTTTGGTACAATGTAGTGTTGTGTACAAATTAAAGAGTAAAAATGAATAGAGAGTTCATGAACCCTAAAGATCAAAAAATAGTTTTCTCATGAGAGATAAATGTTTACCGTAGAGTAGTAACATTATACTAAGTTCTAAAACATAATCGTTACTAAACATACGAGATAGATGCAGTAAGACTTTTATATTAATTTATAAATTATTTTTTAACTGAATGCAATTTAACAGGAATTATTTGTACTTTTATTTTAAAATGTCTTAAAAAATTGTTTAAAATAAACTTACCAATTTTTAAACTTTAAAAAAATAATAATAATATAATATACCTAACATAATATAATATACCATAATATTGCAACACAATATAATTTTATAAAACATAATTTTTAAAACAATAACAGCATAATTTAATGTACTCATAGTATTAAAATTAATATTATATTAATATAATATAATATTATATTTTTTATATTATATTTATATTATTATTATTAATATTATTTTTTGTTATACAACATGAGATTATTGATTTTTCTAACAGTAATTATGACGAATAAACTGTATAATATATATTTATAATTTTAAAGTGAGTATAATTATCATATTTATACGACTCACAAGCTTTAAATCGATTATAGTTTCACATGGCCCACACCCTTAAGTTATAATATTTTAACAGAGTATATTTCTCCTTTAATTTCACTTCACCTGTCTATAAAATTCCCTAGCCACGAGTTAGTATTTCCTGTGTAAAACGGTTTCGGAAAAGAGGGTTAAAAGGGATAATAATGTTTTTTATTCGTTTGTTTCCGTAATCAACCGGCCGTGAAACTTTTCACCTATTCCCACCCTAATGTGTACCTAGATGGATAGATGTGTACCTATAGATATCATAAACAAATGACGGCTATAATTTTATTTAAATTGCATGATACCGAGTTAAGTCACATAATTTAAAATTTTATACTTATAGCTTGGTAAGGTTACGTATAATAACCACGTGGAATATAGGCAATATTATTTTATAATGTAATATGTAATGGTATTATTCGTTTAAAGATAGCTATGACAAAATGAATAATGATTTTTCATAGGTTTTGATTGCATATACTATTTATACTTAAAAACATTTCTTAAAGCAATAATATATACCTACCTTTGTATCTAATAAAGTTCTCAGATGTTTTTAAACTATTTATTGATATCGTTAATAAATCCGAATATTCATTTTACCGAGATAAGTCAGTTTACATATTTCACCGAGAAAAAATAGCAGTCCATAACTTGTGTAAAATTTAAAAGACTGTACCTACATCAATATACGTAAGCACACCATACATACAACATTCATAAGACATTTATATAACATATTATATAGCCTTAAATTGTAATATTGGCGGTATTGGATTTAGGACATTTGGCCCGAGCCCCCGGGGTTCTTACAAAATTCAATAAATGGGTGGCTCCTACAAAATAAGTCTTTAAATGTCTTGATACAATTTACCGATCATTTATAATGGATTAAAATAAAACCTAAGTAGATACGGTATAGATATGAATATTTATATTTTTTCGGGATTAAAAGCTCTAATAGCTATGAAACAACTGATTTTTCTCGAACAATATTCTGGAGTCACGCGAGTAACTAATTGAAATTGGTCCCAGGGCCTCCACAGTCCTGAATTCAACACTGGATATGAATATAAATATAATTACTTGTATGAAACAATAATATTTAGGTCTTAGAAATATATTTAACTACTTAGTATTATAACAATATTCTTTTCGTAGTTAAAAATACACAAAGCAAGGCCATCCTCCGATTTCATTTAAATGTTAAAAAACTTTTATTTACATAAGAATGTACGTCCGATAATTACTTTTAAACTTTTAAGTTTAACTTATGGTTTTTTTTCCTTATTTCCATCAGGTAACTCTTGGCATATTTGTTGTGTTTACACTCGGCTTTTCCGCGAGGTTGCCATGATTATTATACCTGTATTTCATATTTTATAAAAGATCAACAATACACCGTAGATAATATTATTTCGTAGTTTGCCATTTGGTAAGCATATACTCGTATTTATGAAAATATGCGGCATATTTCTCTTCCAAATGTTCGTGACTTCAACTATTTTATAACTTAAGCGAGTTAGGCATTAAGATTTTGTAAAAATTATCCTTTTTAATTATCTTTGGAGATAAAATACTAAACCGTTTTCTTGTAAATACACTTAGCTTTCTGTCAATTGTTGTCATTTCAATGTTTTAGTTGAATCTAAAATATATAAACGTGCTATAATGATAAATTGAACTTAACCGAACCCGAATTATACCGTAATGGCAACTGTTTTATATTTTTAAACATTCAATAACTATAGTTAGACAGAGTTATAATATTATAGTATGTTACTGCAGTTTGCAGGATTCTTTGTTGTTAATAACTTTCGATAAATGACCATCAAGTGAGTAGGTATGTAAAGTCTCTGAAAAGTTTTGACTAGAAACTTAAAATTGTTTATACTTTTTCGCGACTAATTTGAGAAAAAAAAGATATTGTTTATGAGTATGGCGTGTGTATATGTTAGATATGACCGAAAATAACTCACCCCTTCACTCGTTTATTGTGTTCGTACCACCTCGGTGCCAGGTACCCATTTCTGTTCCTCATAGAAAATAAAGAAATAAGGTTAACTTTATACCGAAGTCTCCCCCTTCGCTACTTGTATTTTGATATTTTATTTTTATACTCAACAACAATAGACAGACCATACCAATAATAACAATAATAATAATAATAATAATAATAATATTTTGTGGGCAATTCTATATAATGCATCGTATATGATGTCGAGTGTAAATTTGAACTGGTCGAACCATTTATTAAATTAAAAGTACAATCGTTAATCGGTTCAAATGCGTAAAATAACGACACTTGCTGAAAAAATACACAAAAAATACGGCAATATACTGACGGAAGTTAACATCTAATAGAAAAATTTACTTTTTGTTTAATGTAGTTTATATTAAAATAAACGAGTATACACGTGGTATATTTGGATTTAATACATGTATCATTTGTCAAAACTTGAAACAATTTTGGTGGTGACTTGGAAACTATTCGAAGGAGACTTAACCTTCGTAAGCCACCATCCCCACAATAGATTTAAGCCCATTCATATTGTTCGTATTAAAAATAACATCGTTTTATTTTTGATACCCATAAATGAGATCACAATACATATCGAACGAAATTTAAATTTAACTATGTTTAAGAAAACTGTGCTTTGAAATGCTTTGAAGGAATCCTTTAAAGTACAACGTACAAATAAAATTAAAGCCATATAATAATATTTGTATTAAAATTAATACAGTTAACCTGATACGTCTTCAATTGCGTATATTATATGGACTATTTATACCGTAAACGATGGATTTTAATTTTACCATTATCCCCCAACAATATTTTGAATCGAGTCATATACCTGTAATCTATGCAAATTCATTATTTCGTGATTTAAGATAAACCACTATTCACCCTTAAATTAATATTATTGTGTGTAGGTTTATCAGGAAGGTGGTGAAACAACTAATTTTCCATGTTCATTATAATGTAGTGGTTTAAAATAAAATTACACTTAAGGATTATTTTTTATCTCTATTAACGACCCAACAGGTAAATATCTCGTTTTTTTTCTTCCGTTTAATTTTGAACAGTGTGTTAATATGATATATATTCAATGAACTACTGTCAATGGTCTACATGATTCTGTAATATGCCACACATATTACTATTATAAAACAATAATGTATGCGTAAAGTAGGTGTTAATATGCATAATCTCAACGCTCCTCGTAAATTAAAATGTTTAGTTCAGAAAAATACAATTATATTAGTAAACAGTTTATTCACAGTACATATGTTTTGTAGGAGTCATTTTCCGTATTTCCGCGAAGACGACGAACGCTGGAAAAATTCCGTGCGTCATAATTTATCCATAAACCCAAACTTCCGAAAAGGGCGAAAGTCTCAAGGGGCCGGTCATTATTGGCGGCTATGCAGTTCCGAGGAAAGTCAGGGCCATCGCGAGTTTCCTGCAATCGTCGAAGACGACACATCTTCGCCGCAAGAGTCGTCTGAATTAGAACAAGCTTGCAAGTATCTGGAAGGCGAACTGCAGCGCGATAGCTGCCTGGATGATGTGAAAATGCATTCGACCATCGACACGGAATTAGAAAATGGTATGTTTTTTTGGTTGTCTGGTCGGCGAATGAAACGTATAGACGTAAATTAATATACGTAAACAAAATTGTTTATAGTTACCACTTTTACCTACTTTTTATCGCTAATGAATATAAAATAGATTTTTAACCTTATGTTACGCATATTTTACGTAGGTAGTAGAATCAAAATGTTCTCAGAATTTATTAATAGCAAAAAAATCTTTGTCTCATCAAGTATCTGATTGTTGAAATTAAAAGTAAACGTAATTTGCCATCTATAGGTTCAATAGGTTTAGTCTTTAAAACTACATTATTCTCGCGCTTGTCACAATCGTGTGAATACGAAAAAGGGTTTACACGTTTTTCAAAATTTCACATTTGAGACGGGCTTACATTAAATGTTATTTTGAACTTGTCAAAACTGCTGCAGAAATGCTTGAATATTTTAATACAGCTTATGGTTTTAGAGCATTAAAAAAACAGCCGTTTATGATTGATTTAAGCGTTTCAAAAATGTTCATGAGTCGCTTGAATAAGAATAGCAGAGTGGCTGATAGTCGATTTCAAAAAATGGAGAAACTGTTGAAAAAGTTCGGAATTTTGATCAATGAGATTGTCGTTTACTCATTCTAGATATGGCAAATGCAGTGATTGGTTTGAGTGAGGAGACGCTAGGGGATTGAGAACCTCAATTAAATTATCAGATACCTTTATTACGTACGTTTACTGAGTTGTCAAAAAAGGACGCATGGGACGATACTTTATTTAAGTTTAGTTTTTACAAAATTACAAAAAGTTAATATTTTTATAAAAAATCAAACTATTTTTCAAAATGTGTAAATATACCTGCGAATTATTTTTTGATACAGCAGGATACATGATCAATTATAAAATCGAAAATCAACATCGACAATTTTTGCTGGTATACATAATTACGTACATTATCATTACTTAGAACGCCTATAGAGTTTATTTTTTTATTTTTCGTTATAATTAGAATTTCGGATTGATTTTAGCCTCTTTAGACAAAAAAACATAGATATTATCATATATTTAAATATTGAGGTTATAGTTAGAACTCTGAAAGTGAGTATAAGAATATACGGAATATCCGTTGGTTAGTGGTATTATATTTGAGGGTATCATAAAGGAGTGAACACGGTATGTTCAGTTTCTAATTAGGTAGGGACGCAACATTTGGATGTCTCATCATAGTGCTTTAAATATTTGTTTCCCAAGTCGAGCACCACAAATCGATTAGGAATATCGTACGGTTCAGTACAAAACATTTTGACTGAAGACCAAGGGTGTATTTGAGTTGTGGCCATGCAGGGGGGCGAAACTAATTTTTCTTCAATACAAACTTAAAAATAATTTACAGTTCATTACCTACAGCTTATGTTCCTGTTATAATGATAGACTAGTAATTTATATTTTTAATTATTTATACATTATATTTTTTAAATAAATCAATATTTTATATTCAAAAAAATACGAACCATTGGGGGGGGGGGGGGCGAATGCCAGAAAATTGATTGCCACTGAATGTTCAACAAATGAAAACGAATTTTTGTCCAAAATTATTATTGGAGATGAAACTTGGGTTTTCGTTTATGATCCAGTGACAACATTGTAGTCATTAGAATATTCTAATGACTGGCGTACACTGCCATATGGCACGCAGCAATGTTACCGAGGCTAAAAAAATCGTGTGTTGTTAAATTACAATTGAAGATTGTGTTGATTGTGTTATTCAACAACAAAGGAGTAGTTCACTAGGAATTCATATCAAATGGACAAACGGTCAACTTTGGTTTTTAAATTTAAGTTTTAAACCCGTTCGATTTGTCGAAAAAGCCAGAAAAATGGTTGGTTTTTGCTTCACAACAACGTTCCTCATATTTTGTAGTTCGACAAAATTTAGCTGATAAAAAAAATTCCACAAGTACACAACCCCTTTTTTCAACATATATAGTATCATGCGACTTTTGTCCATTTCTGACACTAAAATTTGAACCTCTAACAAAGGTCAACGTTTTGCGACGACTGAAGACATTAAAAAATTAGTGCAATAGCAAATATCAAGGTCATACAAATAGATGACATATACCAAAGATGTTTCTCGCAGTTGAAAACTCGTCGGAGTACATGTGTTTGTGCTGAAGAACGAAAATTTAAAGAAGGTTAAGTTAATTTAAGTTTAAATTGTATATATAAAAAAAAAAAATTCCGGGAACTTTTTGATCTCGCTACGTATACCCTTCCTATGCCGCTGTTTTGAAACGAATTTTCCGTTCCATAACTGAGATACGTAATCGATTACGCAATAGAAGGTTCGCACTAAACAGTCTTCTAAAGTCTTCGAATTATCGAGCAATATCTATAGTTTTATTTTTGCGATCAATTACGTTTTCTGTATCGCAGTAATAAGTTTATTTTTTTTCTAAAAGTACTAACAAACTGTACATTAATTTGTGGCAAAAATCCTGTTCCATAACACTTGGAAGATCATAGGACTTAATTCTCATTAATTTCTTATCTTAATAGTTTTTCGCACAAAACCATAGCACAACCTAACCCAAGCCTAACCACAGTCTACAAAATAATTTCCATAATATTATAACTCTACCACTAGTGCGATATATAAATATATTTTTACTACTTTATCGTATATATATTTTTTTATTTTTACATACATTGAACACGAAAGCTAACGCCGAGCTTAGTTTAAAATCATATTTGAATGCAATGATATGCTACTTTCATACGTTAAGACAATACTCTGATTATAGTACCTCATTGAAACGCCTATTTTAGACTATATTTATATTTTATGTCGGAATTATCAATAAGTCACAAAGACATAGATTTTATTTAAAAAAAAAGACTAATATTGAACTTGCAATATAAAAAGTTATTTCACAGAACATATTGTACTACGTAAATGTTTATAAATTACAACACAAAAATACTTTCAATAATCTTTCACGATCACATATAAATGGTTAACAATTCTATTTCACTACAAAGAATAAAAATATTATTTTAACAAATGTCAAGACTGGTAATAACATTCTAAAATTGGTACTTTTATTGTCATTTAAAATATATTATTTATTTGAATTTCAGTGCCACTATATTTTTCTTCTTTATTTACTGATTTACTTAGTTACATTTAGTTTATTTTACTAATTTTTAAGATTTTAAACTGTTATGATTATCTGATAATCAGAAATATTATATTATAATTTTCATTTAGAAAGCAATTGTTTTAATTTAGGTAAAATAATAATTTTAATTAACATAAATCATACATTATGTTTATAAATGTTATTTGTACTAAACATATTTCGTAGATATTTTAGTAATTTTCAATTTTGAAATATCATAGTCACATAGAACATTTAAGAAAATAGTAAATGGTTAATTTTGGATATACAATTAAAAATATGTTGTGCTAATACAAATAAGTTTTTGTTGATTTAATTGCTATTTGATTTTGTTTTGTATTATAATGAATAAAATTCAATTTTATACATTTGTTTGTTTTTGTTTCAGAAATTTATACCAATTCGTTTTTGATTTCCAATCCATCAAAGTTTGTAAATGAACAAATGAATATGTCGAATAACAATGATTTTCATTCGTACAGTGAAAACATTTTGGAGGAGTCCATTGACTTTCAGTATTATAATTTATAAATCTTCCAGCTCAAACTATTTTGGTTTCAAAAATTCCAAGTTCTATTATTTTTTTTTTTTACATATATTTTTATAAATTTAAGACTGACTAACAGATGACCTTTTTTAATACTACTTTTACATGATTATTACCATCAATTTTGACACTGAAATTTTACCTGTTTGTGTTTATAGCTTTTTTTTTGTTTGTTACCAGTTCATAAATACATTTTTTATTATCATGTATTAAAGTTCTAGTCAATTATTTATTACTTGAAAAATAATACTTGCTTGTTTTTTTTTTTTTTGCAAAACACACTGATTATTGAATAGGCATATATATATATATTATAATTAATGAAAAACAATTTTTCCATAGATATAAAGATTTATAAAAGAATTACTCCAGAATAGTATTTCATATTTTTATATTTTAAAAAAAAAAAATGTATATAAAAAATACGTGAATTAAAACAACCTTATATTTTTTGGAGTTAGTTTGTTATTAGGATGTTTTTAGTGAAAATTAGTATTATTATAAATTAACAGTGACCACGATCTTCAACTCGTTGTCTTGGTGCAGCCTTAATAATACAATCAACGCGCAATATCATTTCAGCAGCTTCAGCAGCGGAAACGAGTACTTGTCTTTTGACAACAAACGATTCAGTGATTCCAATTTCTTGCATACATCCTAAAGCACCTTTATCCATATCTGAAATAAAAATATTTTATGTAATAACATCGTGAGATATTGAAATTGTTAATGATTACTAACCTAGACCCATGGTGGTCTTATTAAGAGCATGAGCAGCTTTTAATTCACTGATGAGTTGGGCAGAGTCCAAACCAGCATTATCAGCAATAGTGGTGGGTAGAGCCTGTAAGGCCCGAGCGAATGCCTCCATAGCCACTGCTTCTTTTCCAGCTGTTTTAGCAGCTACAACACTGACAGCATTGGCCATTAGCATTTCACTGCAACCACCACCATAAACAATGGTTGGCTCCCTAACAGTAGACGATAATACACACAGAGCGTCATGTATAGAACGATCTGCTTCATCAATAATTTGTTCAGTGGCTCCACGTATAACAATACTACATGCTTCACCAAGTGCTACACCAGAAAAACGTAGTAATGTACTTTCTCCAATCATTGTTTCTTCAATGAGCTTGCATGTTCCCAACTTGGCTGTAGCTGGAGAATCAAATGTTGACAAAATCTCACCACCGGTAACAAGAGCTAAACGCTCAATACCATCAAAATCGGCATGTTCAATAGCCATAATACCAGCATCACCAAAAAGTTGTTCGGGATAATTGTAAATCAATTGTCTGAAATGAAATATTTGTAATATTTTTTACCAATTTAGAATTTGAAGGTAGTCCACTCATTTAATAAAAAGATAATTTAAGATTGAAATTTTGAGCTTTTTTATAATTATTTTATTAAAAACACATTTTAATAGATATAATAAATAAAAAACAATTATTCTTTTCATCCAAGAATCTAAAATAAATGTTGAAAACTTGTTTAATACGATTCAAAAATACATTTAAGCTTATTTTATTGTGTTAGTAATAACTGCATAATTTTCTTCAGTTAACTTTAATTTATGTTTAAATTACCTGTTAATGAAAACATTGCATTCATGAGCAAGTATTTTTCCAACTTTGTCCTTCATCTTTTCTTTCTCTGCCAATTCAAGTTCTGCAACTTTTGCCATAGAATCAACTTTAATACGAGATCCAAATACTTTAATTTTATCAGTATCCATAGGAGTGTTGGCAATAAGTATACGAGCATTTTCAATACGCTTTGGCTGATGTTGTCCAACCTTTTTGTCAAGAAGAAAACCTATTAAAATAAATCATTTTAATCTATATTTCATTCAAAGAATTGTATTCAATTTTATTTACCTTCATCCAAAAATGAATCTTCTAAACATCCACCTTTAAGCTTAATAATTTGTATAGCTGATAAATTTCCAGAACCTTTTAGACGTAAAATAGCATCAACAGATAATTTAGCAAAATGTTCCTTATGCTGGGATAAAATTTTTGAGCTCAAAGTAGTACGAGCAATATTCATTAAATCTTCTCGGAATTTAGCATCATTCGAACTATGATTCAATGAAGCGGCTTTTAAAGCTTCATGTGCAATTGCTGTTGCTTTTCTCCATCCAGATACAATTACTTGAGGGTGAATTTTTTGATCAACCAATTTTTCAGCTTCACGCAATAATTCAGCAGCTAATAAAAAATAATAAATAATAATTTACTTAAATTACATATAATTTCAACTTGTAACTAGTATTTACATAATAATAATTATAAAATGCTACACATGGTTAAGACCGTATTAATACTTCATACATATAAACTGTAAATCATTAACTTTTTTTTAATAAACAGTTAAAAAATAAAAATTTATATTATTAAATTCTATGAGAAATATAACTGGCATATTTAAACCAATAAATATTATGATTCATAAGTATGTATTGAACTAAAGAATCTAATATTTATTTATTGAAAAAATAATTAATATTAAATTAAATTAATTAAATATAAGTCAATAGCTTTGGATAATTAGTAATTTCAGTTAAAATGCAAAAAAAACTTGATAACTGTATGATATAAAACAATAAGAATAATTCATCAATTAATGATCAAAATGTAAAATTATTTGAAAAACAATGATTTTCAATGTTTTATGACCACTTTAAAGTTCTAGGCTGAAAATTATTAGCTGATTATTATAAAACTTAGAGTTTGAACACCATATGTCGTTCATAATAACCTATATTTATTAGAAAGACTAACGTACGGAGTTTCTACACAATAATTTATACTCAAGTTAGACATTTAAGTATTACCTAGAACAGTAACCGAAGTGGTACCATCACCGACTTCGCCATCCTGGACTTTGGACATATCAACCAATATCTTGGCGGCCGGATTGTCGACTCCAATATTTTTCAAGATTGTTGCACCATCATTGGTAACTTCTACTTTGGCTTCCATTCCACCACGACCAGGCGATATGAGAATCTTGTCCATGCCTTTCGGGCCCAACGTGCTTTTGACCAAGTCGCCGATAGCAATAGCTCCGATGAAACTGGACAAACGAGCATTTTCACCTTTGTCTTCTTCGGCTTGATGTTTCAAGATACGTACCGGATTTAAAGAAACCTTCACGGGTGCAAAACAGACAAGAAAAAAATCAACGTTACATCAAACGCTAGCGCCGCGATGGTGAAAAAACGCCCATGTTATTTCGGGCACCGCGATCTTGGTAGGTTAAGAGAACAGGACCCCGGAGGAGCACACACGGTGCTGCCGCGGTTTCGGGTGTCACTTACCATTTCAGTGTTCTACGGGATAATATTAAGAACGTCGGGTGCGCGTTGGACAGCTGATAATGTTTGGAACGGAACGCGAACAATGGGACGGCCACACGGTTTATCGACGAACAGGGATTTCAGCACAGCACGTTAGTTTCACAACAACGAGGTATCGCGGTGTAGACGAGCAAGTATGGTTTACGTTATCAAACACGAAACTTATCGGACCGGAAGACCAAGGTGGTACCAATACGACGGACACCGTTTTATCGGTGCCCGGACTGCTCGGAACAAGCGGTGTTTTTGAAACGAACCGCGCTTGCGAGCGATGTGCGTTTAAAACGATTACGGCTGTTTTTCGACGTTTTTGACGTGCGGTCAGGGCCATCCCGAAGAAGGATTTGGGGAAGGGTATCTCAGGCAGATACATTGCAGAGAATTGCGGAAAACGGTTTAAAGGTGTGATTCCTAAGGACGCGTCTGAATAGGTATTCCGTACAATTACAAAACGTAGCCGCAAGACGCGCAGCAGGTCTGTAATGTACATTGTTACCATATTATTATATGATATTCTCATATTCCTAATCATTAATACCATCATAGTTTGTTTTGGATATGACTTTGTGTACGTTTTCCTTTATTTGGTGATCTTTATAAGCATTATGTTGCAAATCAAATAGGCATGGATGTCTGCTCACATAATTAGCCAGCATAGAATATTTTTCAAATGCAAAAATATAAATAAATAATTAAAAATATAAATAATTGAAGCAATCTAAGAAAAATATATGAGATTCAAGGAAAATGTTTTTATTGGCACTAACAGATCTCAATATTAAATAAAAAATTAAAATTATGTTTATCAAATTATTTATACATTATAATATGTTGTTATAGCACTGGACAAAAAAAAATGTGTTGTCGCATCTAAACCGTTGTTGCGATCACTATATCGATAAAATTATATAAAAAAAAAAAAATTAAAATTAAAAAAAAATTAAAATGTTCAAAGGGAAAAACAACAACGGCCTCTCTCAACAACTTATAAGTACAAGATTGCAGTCACGAAATTTTCCTACACCACCGCTTTTCTGTAGACATTAAAATATATTATTCTGTGCTAAAATTAATGGTGTAAGACCTACATTGCAAGTCATAAAATTATAATTATTAATATTAGTCATAAAAATATGATTTATCATAATTTTATAAATTAATTATCGGGCTGCCGTCATCGGTGGTGCATCCTAATATTGAAATACCAGAAAACAACTTTGACGGACTCTAAAATCACAATCGTTATTTATTTTTTTATGACATTTCTTAAAAATGATGAGTTATTTTCGAAAAACTAATGGGTCAATAATGATGGAAAAAAATGTATAGCTTACATAAACGAGCAATTGGGGAGCTGATGATTGATGAAGTTCAAAGGATGTTGTACAGAATCGTCGTGTCGCTAAAATGATTGGACATTTTCGAAATACATAATACGCGAACCGAACATTGCACGTCATCGCAATGACGACGTTTATAGGACCTATAGGACCGCGACCATAATCGATCACCAGCGACGAAGGGATGTTTCGAGCCGTGCGCGTGTCCGCACTGTGTCGCGTGGTAATAGCAAAGCAAATCGCAAAAGCAAAACAACAGATCTCGGTCAATCAACGGTACTTTGTGCAGTTTTCTTCGTCGGTGACGACGACGTTTGTGTGCCACGGGGAATCCGTGACGTCGCTATTTCGCGTTTGTTACCTGCCGCAAATCTTCCGACGCATATAACCGTCGGACTTAAGTGTCGTGGCCGTATTTAAATTCGATATCACTGCGCCCGTTCCGCTGTTAGATTCCTTAGCTGGTCAGCGCGTACTTCCTTCATATCCGTACGGTGGTGCACTCGACGCGTCAGCAATCGTTCTGGTTGTGAATGTGTTGTTTTTCCAGTTAAGATAGTTGCACGCGCGCGCGCGCGTGTGTGTGTGGACAATGGCGGAAAAGAGAAAAGGCAAACGGCGAAGGGATGAGGTGAGTTCTTTGTTTCATATGGCGGTCGTCGGTGGGCTAGGATGGGGTTTTCCGACACCCCTTTGCCTGGTTTCTTGCGTTCCCTACTTTCGTACACTGTTAATGTGTCCAACTCTAGTGTACAACCGCACGACTCCACTAGATTAACGTCCGCATTTCGTTTTCAGGAATACAGCCTGGACCCTGAAACAGCCGAAAAACCCAGCAAAACTGAGTATTCCGTCGCTGCTTGGTTGCGTAAAAACGTACCACAAAAGAAGACCAAATTTGCTGGTCACAATGTTGAGTACTTCACGGGTCAGTTTAAATACTAGCTTGTGTATTTATGTCCTATTCTGTAACTGTTTCTATTGTTTGCGCAGGTAGCAAAGCTGTTGATAGTCTTCTAGGATCAAAGTGGGCAACTAGTGAAAAATTGTTCACCACTAGACAGGAAATTGAATTGTTTTTGGATCTGTAAGACATTTTTTAAAGTTACTTGTATATCAATGTTATCTGATGTAGTTTTTTCTTTTCCTAGGATGTTGAAACATCAGTTTTTTCATCGTGCTAAAAAAGTACCAATATCAGATCAGGAACTGAAAGCTATCAAAAATAAAAAGTCTAAAAAGACTAATGATACTGATAAAGATGAGAAAAAGAAAGTGGATAAAAAGAAGAAAGATAAGAAAGATGATGAAAGTGAAGAAACTAGTAAAGATGATAAAATTGATGATGATAAAAACAAATGCACTGAAGTAAGGTTTTGTTAGTTGTCTAATATTTTAAGTGATACCTAGGATGATGAATAAATTTGATTATAAATATTTAAAACTTTGTATCAATGTACTCAGATAATTAATTATCGTTTAACAATTCATAGTTTTGTAATTAGAACTTTTGTAATTGTATATATGAAAATTCAAAAACTAACTTTAACCATTTAAAATGTATAAGTAGTTATAGTATAAACTTTTGTGTCAATTCATTATATAGTTTAATAAACTTAGAATCTAGATTTTAGACTATTGAAACATATTTGCTAGTTATTATAAAATTTACTGAACAATGTTAACTATTAAATGGTATTGATTTAAAGAGATAATTGAAATTACTATACTAGTAGTTTTAAAAAGTATATCGTAATATTACAATTTTGTCAATTTAGATGTCTAAGTTTGCTATAAAATCAATCAATTTTATATATTAATATGGAGTTTACTAAGTACTAATAGAAGTTTGAATCAATATTTAATAACATTATATTATGAAATCTAAAATCTATTGAAATAAACTACTATTATGTACCTATATAAAAAATGTGATTAATTTATTTATGTTGACAGATTGAACGAAAAAAGAAAAGTCGTAAAATACGTTTAGAAATGCATATGGAACAATCATTTGTTGATAATTTGGATGCTTATGTATGGATTTATGATCCTATCCCATTTTATTATTTGGTAATAGGAACTTTCATTGTATTTGGTGGAATTGGAATTTGTTTGTTCCCATTGTGGCCTCCACAAGTGAGGTATGTTTATTGTAACTTATTTTACTTTAAATTACCAATTAGTTTTCAACTGCCTAACTGCTTATCAAAATATTAAAAAATATAAATACTCATGTAATATAGCTTTATTACTAGTCAATACTAAGAATTACAAATGTATTATCCTAAATCTAACTCCTGTTTCCTATAGATACAATAAAAAAGTTATCTATACTGTATAGTGTAACAGTTTTTACATTAAAACATAAAAAAATTGTATTAAAATTAAAATGATTAATTATGAAGGATTCCTTATTTTTAAGCATTTATTTTTTATCGTGTTTTTTTTTTGTCCAGTCAAAGTTTTTTAATATCAAGTACTTATTGTTAATATTTATTCAATGAACAAATTAACCATTAATTATTATAAATATCTAATTTAATTTACATATTTATAGAATGGGTGTACAGTACTTAAGCATAGCAGCAGCAGGATTTCTTATATTCATTATTGTTTTGGCCATTCTACGATTGGTCTTATTCAGTTTACTTTGGATATTAACTACAGGCAAATTACATTTTTGGCTCTTCCCAAATTTAACTGAAGATGTTGGATTTTTTGCTTCATTCTGGCCTATTTATACAGTTTGTACAGATTATTTTTCACTATTCAACATGCATAGTTATTATAATTAATTATATTTTTTTGTTTCTGCAGTATAGTGTAATGTATAAGAAGAGTTCTAAAAAAGGAAAGAAAAAGAAAGATAAATTATCAGATGATGAAGAAGATGATAAGAAACTGGATGACGGTGAGGAAGAAAAAAAATCTTCAGAATCAGAAGTTGATGAAAAGGTTCCTGAAGTTGAAGAAACAGTTGAACACAATAACACCTCATTAGATACAGAACCTGGGAAATTTGAAAATCCAAAGTAGCCAATTTTATTCTTACATTTTGTCAAATTATTCTATTGGCTAACAAAATATGATTAAGGACTGTATAATAATTAACAACATTTTATTGAGAAACATACTTTAAAACTCGATCACCGGTTCAAATAACTCATTGATTCAAATTAATTTTATTATTTATGTTGCTTTAAGTATCCAAATATTTAAATTTGTATAATCTTGATTTACATATTCATATGTAATTATAATTAAAAAAGTAATTTCATATTTTATGTAAATAGATGTTCTGAAGAATCTTCTTCAACCGATACAGAATCTAGTAGTCAGCAGTCGCATACTGGAAATGATTTTGTGATGGTGGACAAACAAGATGCCCAAGATACATAATAAGTAAATATAAATATTGCTGTATGCAAATCTTGTTTAAATTTTAAACTTATTTTTTATTTTTTTACTTTTATTTTCCAGATAAAATTAACTAATCCCTTTATTTATGTTTTCCAATAGCTTTTGCTGTGGTATGATTTAAAATAATATAATAATTATTATTTCACTGTTATCTTATTATAACTTATATTCAATAAATTGCATTATTATTATTTTTATATTTTATTGTTTTTCGAAATGTTTAGCTAATTTTCCATTGTCTTAGTTACCTAAATTATAGAAAATTATATAACTTGTATTTTATTATTAATTATAAATAATAATTACAAATATGAAAATATTGTATTTTTTAAGTCTTGTTTTGTTCTTACTGTTAAAACAGAATAAGCATAATTTGATGAAATCAAATAAAGACTATCATTGCTGTTTATTAAAAAGTTTGAAATAATATTTATAAATAATAAAAATCTTTTTTGTTTATCATTAAATAATTACTTGAGATAAAATCTTTGTTTTAATCAAATTGTATTTTTTTCCAATAATGTTTCTTTTTGTTTCTTGTGAAACTGAACCCTTAAGTATTCATTTATTAATACAAACCTATTTAGTGGTAATTAGTTACTATAAATAATATTTGTTACCTAAAATCAATAATTCTGGGCCTCTATTATACTTATTACACTTTACTATTTTTGAAGTATGGGACATTATTACATTTGCAATAGCAACAATATTTTACCACTATAGATTTTCATGTTACAAGTAATTTATATTTGTTAACAAATAATAAGAATGTTAGGTATTAATTTAATTTAATTATAATACTTGTCTAAATTCTCGTATATACAGTGGTAGCTATTTTAAAAACAGTTTAAAAATAACAAAAACTGTGTTTTTATTTTTATATTAAATCTAAAATATTTTGAATAATATATGAAGTCAAAATGGAAATATTGAGTGACAGAGTGACTTGTTAAGTATGAAAATTAGACAGACACGTCAAGCAAAGTCAACTGGAAGTATTTTCAACTTGGGTTATTTCTTTTATAGATTTTTAAGATCATAAAGTATAAAAGAAAGATACTCTAAATCAGCGGTTCCTAAACTGTGCACCATGGTGCTTTGGGGCATCTCAAACACTATAAGGGCACCATTGTCTACGTTTTATAATATATAGTTTAAAATGTATAGTATTTTTTTCGTAAAAACTTCATAACAAATAATGAAATATTTCCTATTGTATATTTGGACATTCTCGTTCAAACCATATAATATTTTTATGCAATAATTATAATCATAATAGCAATAATTTTTATTTATTTATTTTTTAAAATTAATAAGTTGGTTATCCATGAGTATTTTTTTTCATTCTGTCTTGTTATTCACAGCAGGGCACCAAGGCTACATTAGGTCTAAAAAAAGGCACCGCTGGAAAAAAAGTTTGGGAACCGCTGCTCAAAATTAAACTGTTACTCGAAATAAATTAACAATATCTTTGACCATGTTAAATTATTGTATCAACTATCACACAATTCAACGAAGTGTTACTATGAACTATCATGATCGTAGACTTGTAAGACTAGTTTGTAGCTATATCGTATTTTCAAGATCAATAGCACGGTTATTGCCCAGATCTTCGTGACCCTGGCCAATAGTATTTTTATATTCTAGAATGATAAGGTAAAGGTTGATAATAGATTAGTATTCTTCTGGATCGGTGATAGCATTATCATTAATTAATTGTATGCAACAGATATTCTGCATAGGTTATACCTGCATATGGAATACCGTTACCATTTATGAATCAAGTACTTAATTGAAGAAATTACAATTATTATTTACGAGTGTACACTTTTTTTCAAACATTTTTAATGGATCACAGAATACTTTTTTTTAAACATTTATACACCTAGTTGAGTAAGCATTACACGGAAATGAAGTGTATAAGTTCAATATTAGCCTAACAATTTTTGTTATGCGACCCGTACATGATTATTTATATTACTATGGATACATTTTAGAATTAATTCTTCGAAAACTGACAACTGAAGAAAATTCTGGATTGAACCAAGATTTTGGTAAATCTATTTGTTTTTGAACTTTACGCGTTGCATGTTTAATTAAATTTTTTATTTAAAAAGTTAAATGTTGATGTTTAGTAAGAATTTCTGTTACAATGTATGTGCTGATCGGCTTAATTTCCTTAATTATATTTTCATATATTTTTTGTATTCAGTGTTGGTTAATTGAAATTGTTATTATTATTACTTTTATTAGCTCTAAGCAATAGCATTTACTTAAATGTACGAGTGTTCAAAATAAATACAATTTTATAGGTTTTTTTTTTTTTTTTTTAATTAGAAATCTTTTATTTATTTATGAATCTACTAGCATTACAGTGACAGAATTTTCCATGCAATTTTAAACTGTGTATCAAACTTATTAATGCAAATAATATTTTTATCAGTAATATCTTGAATTTAACAGATTTATTTCTTAAATAGAATAGGGTGTACAGATGGAAATGGATGAAATAAATGGTTATGTTCTCAAATCTCCTAAACTCAAATGTTTATCACTGCATTCCAAGAAGAATATTTGCAGAACAAATTCTTGCAAGCGACCTGGTATGGTTTATAAGAACTTAATTAAAAATCAGAATGCTATTTGTACCAGTCACTACTTTGATACGCCTTCTGGTAACCAATGGATTCCACCAAGATCTCCATATGCTCTTATTCAAGAAGACTTGTTTCACAATCCTTGGCAACTGTTAATTGCAACTATATTTTTAACTAAAGTTAGAGGTATATTTTACTTAACTATGTAGATATAAAATATATTATACTGGACATTTCAAATTATTTTAATGTTTTCAGCAAAACTTGCAATTCCAAAAATGCATGAATTCTTACTGAAATGGCCAACGCCAGAAGATGTGATGAAAGCAAATACTCAAGATTTATTGTGTTCAATGGAAAATTTAGGATTAGAAAATACTCGAGTTAAAACCATTAAAGGGTTTACAGGTAAATTTGAAAGAAAAATAATAATATTTTGTTTTTCTAAACTAATATATTTTTACAGCTGATTTTTTATCTAAAAACTGGAAGTATCCAATAGAGTTGTATGGGATTGGTAAGTACGGTAATGATTCATATAGAATTTTTTGTGTGAATGAATGGAGAACAGTACAACCTGATGATATACTATTATCCAAGTATAAAGATTGGCTTATATTAAATGAAAAAAAACTCGGGATTTAAGTTTATTTAATTATTATTTTTTGTACATTTATTTTATACTGTAATTTGTCTCATTTCTCATTGTTCCTTAATAAATAAAAAATATTCTATACATTTATTTTTTCAATCTCATGAAATTAGATGAAAAGAAAAACATTTGATTTTAAATTGTTAATACTATTTATTAATTTTTTTTTGTATATTCATATAGATTATCCACATTGACTGATACTAAAGAATAGAGATTTTTTTTATACAACCTATGAGAAAGAGTGAATAAGTTATCTTTGTCAACTACTGTTCAATTAGGAATAATATTACTAATAATAGTAATATAGTAAAACCTCTAAATACTGGACACTCTTGGTCACCATAATTTTGTCCGTTATTTAGAGGTGTCCTCTATTCAGAGGGAGGAGGGGCAGGCATGCCCACAGAGATGTAGCTCACTAAGTGCAAAATATTTTTTGTGTCAATATAAGCTGTGGGGAGGGGGCTTTGTCCCTTACACCTTTAACACTAATCAAATGACATAGGTGTATTATTTATCATCAATGATGTGTAGGTATAACAAAATATATTTAAAACATAACTCATTTTATTTATTAATTCTAATAAAAATATATATTATTGTTTATATTAATAGATTATTAATCACTGAAAAGCAATACCAACCGCCTAGAACTCAATCTAAACTTGTCAATAATACCTTCTAATTGCTGTCAAAAAATTTTTTTAATTTCGTATCTTTGTCGATGAATATTAATCAGACCTAAATTACTTAAACTTTTATTTCCCATCCTGTTTCTCAGCCATGTCTTTAAACGACGTAATGTACTAAAAATATAATGACAATTTATTTTATAAGAATAATATACTGCAGTGGTTCCCAACCCATGGGCCGCGGCCCACAAGTGAGCCGCGAGCAGGTGGTACTGGGCCGTGAACCATATTTTATTAACATTACTTACATATATTTTTTAAGTATTAAATATCAGCAAGTGAAGAAGATTCGTTGATTGAACTGTAATGTGATCAGACTCTAAACTCGTTTTTTAAAACTACACCATTATTACCATTATACTTAAATATTCGGCGAGACTTTCCAGCAATTTCTAAAATTTTACTTAGAAATTTGGTGGGCTATATTTCGACAACCTGTGTGTCTGTGTGAACAAGCTTTTTCTATTTTTTAAAATATAAATGTAGGAATGAATTGAATTTTGAGTGATTTAAGGCTAAAACTTTTCATTTTTAATCCAAATATTGATTTTCTCATTGGGAACAATCCAAAATTACATTAAATTGTTTAACTCTTGAATAATCTACTTCAATGAAGTTCTATTTTTTGATAAACAATTGTTTTTTAATAAATAAATTGTAATAACTGACGTATGTGCATATTATACATATATAACTATTGGTGGGCCTCAAACATTTTCTACGAAATTGGTGGTCCGCACTACTAAAAAGGTTGGTAACCGCTGATATATAGAATAAAAAATGAGAAACATAATATAGAAAATATTACCTCAGAGATTTTTCGACTGAACATGAAGTTGCAGGTAAAGTAATGGCAATTTGTATAGCCATACATATATATATATACAACTTCACAGAACATAATCTAGAAAAATGTTTCATCGAGGCAATGAATCAATGGACAGATAAGATAAACTATAATTGTATAATAATTTATAATACATACAGTAAGATTAAATTGGCATTCAACGATTATTCTATATTTACTATAAAAATTTTCAAAATCAAATTGCCATAAAAGTGTCCGGTATTTAGGAGTTTTCCTATATGAAAGTAGTGAAAATGTCCCCATTCCCATAAAAACGTCCGATATTCGGAGGTGTCCGTTAAGGGAGGTTTCACTGTCTATTGAATAACAGAGTATTGGTCAAAAAAATGTTCCTTGAATTAACGAATTAGTCATGTTTTCTAAAACTCCAGTCAAATTAAATATTGCTCAAAAGTATTAAATAATAAGCAAAAAGGAATAAGTCCAAATTAATACTGTCTAAAAAGATGAAGTTATTTTTTGGACTTATGAGTTGAAGTTAATTGAATATTTTAATTTTTAAGAAAATCTGTACTTGATAAACAAATATCGAAAATATTGATAAATAATAAAATAAATATAATAATGATTTTTTTATTTTTTTCAAAATTATGTACCTATTCCCTTTTACCCTTGCACCATTCAAGTAAATTGGGCATTCTCAATAACCATTCCTTTTTCATTTTTTCTTGTATATTGACAACTGATAAGGGGTAGCCTTCTTAGTCCTTATAATCTACCTACCTCTCAGTATAAAATATAAATTAATATTGTGTATAATATTTATAATAATTAAATGCAATTAATAAATATTTTGATAAAAATATATAATTTTACATTACTTTGATGTATTCAGAAAATTATACATGAAAATCATCAGTTGAATAGTCGTTAAACATTTCATAATTATAATGACGCAATAACATTTAATTTATGAGTTCGTAAATAATGCACCAAGTTTAACGTTTTTAACAATTGCGATTTCGACGTAGTAAGACTATATTTACATAAAAAAATTTCTCAAATAGTCGGTATATTTTATTTAAATTTGAATTTTTTTTTTAATATTTTAAAAACAACAAATTAAAATTCTTAAATTTTATGTTTCATGTTTAGAATTTCAAATTTAGGATAAACTAAAAATTTATAAATTATACGGTTTGTTTCAAAACAATGCTTAGTAGATATGTATAAATATATTTTTTTTTTATAACAATAGTAGGTATATTATATTGAATATATGTATGTACAATGTGCATACAAATTAAAAATTTATTCAGATTGCAAAATAGAAAAAAGGTGATTATAAAAATCTTTAATTATTTTTAATTAGTATATAAAAAATATATTATATAAACTCTGATGATTATTTATCATTATAATACTAAAAATATTGAAGACACTGTATTTTTGTAAATTAGAAAAAAAAATTTTAATTAAAAAATTTAAATTAAATTAATTTAATTAATTACATTTTTTAAGTCATATGCATATATATAAGGCATATGCCTCGTGACCAGTAGTAGATATTAAAAACTCGAAATATAATTTATAGACAATTTTTTTTTTTTATTTAAAACATATATTTCAAATAATTTTGATTTATTTAATGGTTTCCGAAATATTTAAGATATTGAAAAATTTAACTAATTCAAACTTAAAATGCAAATCGGCACAGGTTCACCTTGTTTAATTGACTACAATTTTTTGTAAATCTTTTTTATATGCATACATACATTTTAAGTGGGCGAGTTAAAAACAAATTTAAACTTGAAAATTAAGAAACGCCCTAATTTATAGATGTACTATTATGTACTATAGATGTTTCGTATTAATCACAATATAACTACTTTAAGACATACTGTACAAAAAACAATCAGTGAATAATGAATATTCATTTATATATAATTATGCAAATGTCATTTTAAGTATAATTTAATTATAAACTGAAAAAAAAATTATACTTTGAATAGTATTTTCATAAATAATCTCTTTATAATACATAAATTAATTCGGTTTCCTTTAAAGAATAAATTTATAACTAAATTTATATTATATACATTAATATATTATAGGTATACCCATAAGAGCAACTAGGGGAGCTTAGCCCCTTCACCAAGAATGTCCAAAGCCTCAAAAAATAAATTTGGCAATTGTTTTCTAAAATTCAATAAATAACTTGTCTATACTTTTATTATTTGTTTTATGTTTTACCTTTAGTTGTTTTATGTTCTGTGTTTGCCGATTTGTATTTGGTCAATATGACAATTTAATTTATTAGCCAACAGCTATTTTATTATATATTACTTAAATTAGTGTAAGTTTATCATTCATATAATATATTAATATAACGCATAAATAAAATGTACTGCTCGTTTTAATTCATACCAACACATATGATCGTTTATTTACGGCACGTAGCACGTGTCTATTTCGGTACCTGCGATATTCACAATCACTGATCCTATATTTACTTATTTCATTAAACACATATTAGCTATTTAGTGTGTCTATGTTTCAACTAGATAACATCATGGCAGATGAAAATATTAAAAGTGTTTGGATTACCATATTTTTATAAAAATAAAAATAAATATTTGTAATCAGTGGTCGAAATGGCTCAAGTGGAGGGATGTCTTATAATTCAGATTTCCTGATATAACATTCTTCACACCTTCTTGTGTACCTATAATATATTTTTTTTTTTATAGTTCACATAAAGTATATTCTTAGTCCGTGGCTCTAAATACGGGTATAATACGAGTTATTTTGTGTACAAAAATAAACCAACAAAACCTAAAATGATTCTATACGCCAGGGGTCGGCAACTCGCGGCTCGCGAAGCAATTTTTTATGGCCCGCACAAAGGTGGTTAATTTTTGTGTTTTATTTTTGTTCATTAAAATTTTTCATACAATTTTCAATATCATTATATTCTTTTTTCTTTATAAATAAAATCTAATCTAATCGTTAATAGTTGATGTTTATTCTATATATTTATAGTCAGTTTAATCTATGAAATTGTTATTATTATCTAATTGGAGTCGAAGATAATGATAGCTGCACTACTCAGTCATAGGATAAATTAAATATACTTATATATATTTAAAAATTAAAATTTTAAATATATTTAATCTATGTATTTAATACATATGTACCTAATATATTTAATCTATGGTCATAGTTACTTTGCGTTTGTAGCAATTAGTATTACGCCCGTACGTGTGACTGTTTGCGTTTGTAATAGTTTCATTTTACAAGTAAATCCAAACATTATGGCGACTAAAAAAAGAAAAATTTGTGATGAACATCGTTTTTTTTAATAATTCTTGGGTTGATTTATACATTTTCGTCGAAAACAAAGGTAAGCCATTATGTTTAATTTGTCAAAAAATTAAATTTTTTCTTAAAAGCAATTTTTTCCAGTAACATTCGTATTTTTTATAATCATATTTCTATGTAAAATAATCAAATCAGTGGCGCCGAACTACAAAAAATGCAGTATGGC